CCATCTCACCTCTCTCTCTCTCTCTCTCTCTCTAGGTTAGGGTGAAAAGAGGTGGCCATGCCTAAGACATAAAGAAGGGGTGGGACGCCCTAGTAAACCAAGGTGTAAAAGGTGGCTCTATTCCATAACAAAGTTTTGTCTTATGCTTTCATAAATTAGATTAGGGTTTGGGTATGCTTCCCAAATTGTGAGGCAAAGTTGATGACCTGGATCCAGTGTGCCATTGGTGGTGGAGACCTGGATTGGGATGTAATAAGTGCTTGGGGGTAACCCTTGGCAAGGTAATCCGGTATTTTGTGGGTTCATTCATTCTTATGTATTGTATTTTGATTTTAGTTGTAAAAAAGAGTTTTATAGCACGCTAGTGATAATCCTAGATTGTAGTTGGGTTTTATTTTGAATTAAAGTTGTAATTTTGGACATCTGTTAGTGTTCTAGCTGGTATAAATACAATAAGATGAGAAAATTTTTTAGCTGTGTATTCTTGGCTAGATCAAATTGTCCACCTTTCATGCTTATGGTAGTTAAGCTATGGTGCTTCACCGCGAATTGATGGTTCAAGTTTCTCTTCCTAATTAAACTTATTTTAATGGCGGGGGCCTTGCTTTGATGTATGATATACTATTATGTTACTCAATAGTCATATGCTACTATGCATGTCAAGTTTTATTTTCATTCTCAGCATTCGACATTGCAATGTTGTTTTGAGATTTGGGGCTGGGATCTATATTTTGTACTACAAAGTTAATGGTTTCTAGATAGATGGTTCGCATGTTTAGATGGAAGAGGCCTTCGTTAATCGAAAACATGCATTTAATAAGCCATAGCTGGATTGTTAGCTAAATGGATTTCCAAGTACATTTAATTTCATATTCCAGTTTGTGTGCAGTAGAATATTATTGATTGATTCTCCATTCGAACTACATTCCAGAGGTCAAGTACATAATTGTTGGGAATGGGAACGTGAATGGTTCCGCGAACGGGGGCAGGATCGGCGGATCAAATCTATACTGAAGATCTCTGTGCTAGGGATTGATGCCCATACAGCCTCAAAGGTCGGGATCGAGGTCCATGTGTGTTGGGGATCGAGCTTCTTTATTACATAGGATTGAGAATTATTGTATAAAGGTGCGATATCCTATACGTAAGAAGCGCAGTTCCCAAAGACATAGTTTTGAGTTTCTTAACTCAGGGAGCGCATTACTAAAAATGATCCAAAATATTATGGAGCGAGGAATAACTTTTATAGGAGCGAGCCCCACTTTCGTAGAACACAAGTTCCTCATGTAGGTAATCAGGATCTGTGGTTTTAAAATGTAGCTCCCGGCATTGTTAAACAATAACATGTAAGCTTAGTCTTCTATGAAATAACTAAGGAACTTTAAAGCGGTCCCATATTGGTGGGATCTAGATGCTATATATGGTGATGCTTGTGTTCCGTTATTTTGGAATCTAGATCCCAATGCACTCTGGAGCGCGAACCATAAGACTAGGGAACTATATCCTGTAATGTTCGGGAACGCGAAATTAAATTGAAAGGAACTAGTTCCCTTATAAGATGGAGCGAGATCCCGAAAACACTAAATTGAGTTTCAGATGAGATTCGCTTCGGGATCGAGAGAATCGAGGTTCTGCAAGGGATTGCCTAGCAAGGGAGGAAATCACGGTAACTATGGTCCAGTATATAACAGGCTTATTTTGATGGTTCATGGGCATTGGAAAGCAAATTAGATAACTGATTTAGTTGGTTATTTTTCTCGAAAATTAATGAGTTGGTTCTTCTTGGGTTGTGGAATCCTCAGTTCTTCATATTCCAACACTAATTTTTCTTCAAATATAGGTATTTCCACGGAACTAGCTTTCCTTATTTTTTATTTTTATTTATTTTTGTCCTCTGAGGAAAATGTCTTGAGATCTCCTTTTCTTGTTCATTTGCACAGATTCAGTATTAAGAACAGACCTAGAGTAAGTTAATGGAAAAGAAAACAAGGAGATCAGCATGTGACATGAATCGTAGAAGCAGGATTTATCTAATGAAACAAGGGGGGTCCTTGTATCAAACAGTGAAACTGCATACTTATTTTTTCTTGATCATGAAAATCTCCCATCCCTCATCCCAGCAATTTCTCTTGCCCACTATGCGTACCATAACTTGCTGGCAAACTTCTGATCCACACCTTTCGGAATTCCCTCAAACCCTTCGCAAATGTTTTAGCTTTAATTAACTGTAGTAGCTTGATTGCCACGTTTTAAGTACTCTAGTATTCCTAAAGTAGCTTGATTTGAGTTTACTGCTAGTTCATACAATGAGAAACTTTAATTTTAGCTTCTGACATGCTCAATTACAGGAGGGTGTATGGGTTCCAGGCATCTCTAAATGGGAATGTGGTGCTCTGCTGATACCTTGTGGGGGGTATTTTGTGTATATTTTGTTGCAACTTGGGTGGAAGCTGCTATGCTTCTCCATGTTATTAAGCTATATTCACATATTTCTTAACACAATTGTTGCTTTTATATTAAATGGATACTATTATGGATGGCATCCTTGACTATCTGGGATTCCTTCTAAAATGGTGATCCCACTCTGCTGTTAGGACTCTTCAGCCTTGGAATAATTGTGTATATTTTGATTTCTTAAGTGCTTTCTTAAGTCTCTCGCTGCGGTTCTTGTTGCTATAGCCTTTGAAGGCTTTTTAAGTTGGTCTCTTGGGAATATTATGTGTAAGAAGCATCATTGTTATGAGAAATTGATTAATAAGAAATGACCTGATGAGGGAATCTGTCAAAAATGATAATGGTTATCACCTTATAGGGATTCATCTTTGTGGTTTTCTATATGACCTTGATCTCAGAAATTTCCTGTCTTAAGAAAGACACCTTTGAATGTGGTCAAAGCTTTCCCAAGGAACGAGATTGCAGGCCAGGAAAGATGCCTTTCTTTTTTACGCCTTAACAAATGCTGGTAGTTAGCTCTTACCCGATGGGACTCTCGTCATAGACAACCTTGATCTTAGAAAGTGTCCTTCGTAAGAAAGACAACGCTGCATGTGGTGAAAGCTTTCTCAAGGGACAGAAGTTGTAGGCCAGGAAAGGAGTCTCTGTTTTATGCATTTGTTGGCAGTTGGGTCTTACCACATGGGATTCCCATTATAGAAATGAATTTGGGTATTTGAGATCCGGGTTCCATCAACAGTTTCTCTTACAGTTTATTTACCAAGTTTATCAGTTGTGGTCGGCTCCGAACCTTTGACATTCATGCACCAACTTGAGGGGGAGTATGCATGTGCATATAGGTATTTATGTATTTGGTGTTTCATATGTTTGCTCATGTTTTTATTGTCAGGGAACATGTTCTTATATGATTGTACATACATATATTTTAATGAAAATAAATCAAGAGCAGTGACTTTTGCTAGATCAACTTCATTTCATGGGTTATTGTTATCAATTGATTCTCTCTCTTCTGCTCCTTAACGCAAAACCCTTACCAAAAGCACCATTCAATTTTTGGGGGATTTCATTCAAGATGATGTGAATTTTTTCAATAAAATTGTTGGTTGTAATTTTCTGTTTTGTGTAACAGAGAAAATTTATGAAAATGGACACTAGATAAGAGAATCCAATTTAAATTTGACTGCTGATTCAGGCAATTATTTGTGCAGTGTCTATCCAATCTATGTTCTGCATGTGACTGTGGAAGGACACGATGGATATTGGCATTTTATTCACTCTTTTCTACTACCCTTCTCTTCTTTTCTTTCACCTGCTTGTTAGGTTTTGTATCCAGATTTTGAGATCAAATTTCTGTACCATTATTTGTTTATCGGGACTACAGAATGTCCTCGCATAACTTTCTTTTTTCTTATTCCTTGGAATAGCTGGGCTTCTTAAGAGCTTCACTTGTTGTTCCATATTGTTTACCTTCCTGTATTTATATGCTTACTATTTTATCATTTGTGTTTTCTTATTACATAATGGAGATCTATGATATTAGCTGTCGAGTTCGTCTTGACTTGCACTCAACTTCTCAAATTGCTATGATGAACTTTCTTGGAAGCGTTCTGGAGCATTTTTGCTGCGAAGATGAAGTGAAGAGAGACTGCATTGGCGATTCTGGTATCAAGAAAAAAACAATGATGGAGACTTTGCAGATTCTTGGGTGAGTTATATGGAGCATAACTGAATGCCTCATCGCTTGTGTGGCACGCTAGCAGTGGTTTTATTCATGTCATTAACTTAGGGGACTTGATTTTAGGATTAGTTTAGTAAACCTGTCTAGTCTTATCTTGCAATCTGTGGTATGATAAACATGCACCTGGATCTCTTCACCTTCCTTTCCCAATTATGATGGAAAACTTGAATTATAGATAGGGCCTGTTGAGAAAACATGGTTTACTACCAGTGCACCTCATCCATCATCAGTGGGGATTGACTGCGGCATGCACCTGGCTCTTGTAAAATGCTGTGCTAGCATATCTGATTATTTCCCAAACATGAATATACACAATCTCTGTGAAGCTTTTGATTCTGTTATCTTGTTGAAGCTCCTTAACCTCTGTTATTGACTGTGGACACTCTTAACATCTTACGATAGGATGATAATATGGATGATATAATATCCATCAACCATATTACAACAGTGACATAATGGAACTTTATGAGACACATTCAGAATGAACTGCATGTAAAAGGTAGAATGGAGCTTCTCATCACTCGATATTATACAATGCTTGGAATTTCGGAGTTTCTTAGTTCCTCAAAAAACTCCATATTAGGTTATCAGGATTGGACCGGCCACTGAACTGATGAGGGGTTTGGCCTTAGTCGAACCAGGTGCAGCAGTTTAAATATAAAGAAAAATATACTTAATAGTGTTAAACTATATATTATTATATTAAAAAAAAAACTCTTCACTATGTTATAAAAAAGTTTCCCAATTTTGTTTGGCTGGTCTAATGGTTAAACCCGGCTGGTCAGGTCAGCCCAAAAAGGGGCAAACATTGGTTTTAACCAGTTTTAAATCAAATCAGGTTTTTACTTTGGACCAGACTCATGAAGGCATTGGTTGGCGGTCGGACCAACCAGTCCAGTCTGGTCTTGATAGCTATGTTCCACATCATGAAACTAACAAGAAATTGTGATGGGTCCTTATTTGTAGGGAAACCATCTCAATAAAAGATTCAGCATACTACTTGCAACTTTTTTCCTGGGGTTTTCTCTTTTATTTTCTTCATCAAAGATGGGAATTGAGTAGGCACTGTTTAGTTCTAAAAATGATGTACATTTTTTATGACTATGCATGTGTGACCAGTGATGATTAAACTAGTTTCAGCTTGTTGTTCTGGGAACATGTATCTAAACTTGCTATTTTTCAGTCATATTGCCAGTGAGAACGGTGGGAAGTTTTCAGAGCTTGAGAATGCACAGATGGTCAAGCTTCTTCTCCACATAATTTCGATGTCTCATGCTGAGCTCTTTCTTATATCTCGTTCAAGTAATGACTGGGGTTGTGCTAGAGATTTTGGATACAAAGTACGTCGATCTGAAACTTTATGGGATGTTCGGTCCTTGGCTTTAGTTATGATGGGAGATGCATTTTCTAGGATTGGAGCTACAATTTCAGCAGATATATGGCAATCCACATTGGAGGTATGCATATCAATTTATAGCTTGATTGAACTGAGAAAATTTGCTAACTATTTTCTGAAATAATGAAACAAACTGAGAACAGATGAGCAACTTTTACATGTTTATTTAGGTCTTGAGGAAAATTATGGATGTGCTGGCATCAAAGTCGGTGCTTGTAGTTGATAGTGTATTGTCCAGGTAATTGTCTTCCATATCACTGGCCTACTGACCTTGAAATATTTAGAGACATTTGATGAACATGTATTTTTGGCAGGTACTATACCTCTCTTCTCCATTGCTTGCATTTGGTGCTTTCAGATTCAAGAGGTTCTTTAACAGAGCATGTAAGTCCATAACACCCTTTCGCAGATGTAGGAGTCCAACCAAACTAAAAAAGCATTCATGGTAATCTTTCAAATGTTGCTGCCCAAGCCTTATCTCTTATGGTTCTTGTTAGTCCACTGAAACAATTTCTGGATGTTTCATGCACTGTAGGTGGCTGGTTTGATGGCATCACTGAAAATGTTTTTCTTTTATGGGCTTACGGATAAATCGACATCTGACAATGCTAGTCATAAAATCAAGGATTGCATTACTGAAGGCTCAACAGCAGAATCAGAAAAGTCCCAAAGATCTACATATCGTCCTCCTCACCTCCGTAAGAGAGAGAGGTAGGATTGCAGTCAGTATCAGAAGAGCCGCCTGGTATTGGTATGACATCATCTGAATCAGAGCATAGTGATAGTGATGGGTCACTAAAGGATGTGGACCACTTTCGGTGTTCCAAGGCTCGAGTAGCTGCTATAATATGTATACAGGTAAGTTGAGATTCAATTTGAGGCTGCACAGTGATAATTGTTGATTTCATCACTTGGTAGCCCCTGTATAATTTTTTGCCATAGATGCATTCTGAAAGATTGGTCTAAAAAAAATGAGGACTTTAAGCTTTCTCTTAACCTGTCCCAAGCCCGAGTAAAGGAGATAGATTGTGTTAGGTAGGCAGCCAACGTAAAACTCTGTCACAACTTGGACATGGTTGGAAGTACTTAGTAAAAATATGGGGCTTATGGCCTAATTGAGGGTATGGCCCTTGAAAGAGCAGAATGACGGACTAGGATTCGTGTAGCCAACCCCAATTAGTTGGGAAAAAGCTCTGATGGTGATGACACACTCTGAAAGATTTATACTTCATGTGGGATAGTTATGGCTTATGCGCTTAATGGCTTAGGCCTAGCGCTCGATTGCATCTTGGCCAGCCACATAGTTGAGTGAAAAATGGTCCCAATCTCTTTTCAAATGTCATGCAACATGCCGCTTTTTAGTGTTGTTTTTCCATAATGGGAATACATCCCAAACCACACATCATTGACAGCCAAAACTATCTAATGCATTAACCCTTAGGATTTATTTTGGAAGCTTTCCCGAGCATGGGCTTTCCCGAACACGGCCTTCGGTATTAGATTCTTTTATTATTCTATGCCTGCACACGAATACTATATGTAATGACTGAGATTTTGGATTCTTTTAAATTTGCATTGCATAATTCTTCCTAAAATTATTTGGAAATTTTTGTTCTAGGATAATATTTATTGTTTCGCCTCTTATTACAGAAGATACATATTGTTCTCACACACAGAGTGGCTTCGAGCAGGTGGGTCCAAGCAGAAATTTTATGCATGGCCTTTGTTGGGTAGGATGTTTTGGTATGCATGCAGCAAAGACGAGGGTTTTCAAAATAAAAAAACCACCAAAAATTCTAGTGGATATTCACACATATATTGTTCCAAAACTTGTGATGCAAAGTGCATGCTATAAAGTATATTGATATATCTGTACATCTTTATCATATTGAAGAGTAAAGAACTTATCTAGGAGGATTTGTTTGACCCTAAGTTCAATAGACAACCCATATCCCAGTAAACAAGCTCATGAAAAATAAATAATAAAAGCAAAAAAAAAATCCAGAAAATGGTTTTTTTAAGGGAAGAGAAAATGCAGTGAGTGACTACAGATCATCTATTTCTGGAAAGACAAAAAGTGGTTTTAGATTTAAGGTATTAAGTGGATTTATTTTACTCCAACGTTTTTTGATGTGCTGATTATCACCAGATAAACAATTTGAAAGAAAAAAAATGATTGAGATCTTAAAGGCCTTGATCTAAATTGGACACCCAATGTTCTCTGAATTTTCTCCCTTTTCTTGAGATTGTTCTCCAGGTTAAGAATGTGCAAAACATCCAGTCAAACAATTCCCCTTGGATAGTTTTTTCAAGGATTTACTGGGCTTGGGTTAATTTTATAGAAATTAGCTTATGGGAGTGAGTATTCCTTAGTATATGCATATATACTTGTTTTGTGGCATAAACTGCTTTATGCTTGAGGGGTTTGTTGGACCCCAAGTTTTGAATACAGGCATATCTCATCTAGGCAATCAAAATAAAAAAAGAACAAAAAGGGGAAAATGAGTCCATTTCGGTGATCACAGGCCATCCATTTGCTGGACAGTGGATGAAGTCCTTCAATAAAGCAGTCGGTTTTTTACTTTTTTTTTGTTTTTAAATTGTTCATCTTTCAAAAGCTGTGCAAAATTTTGTGCTCATTTTGGTTTGTGCGTAAAATTTCAGCTTAAGGGGTTTGTTTGTGCTTAATAACCCCTAGAAGTACAAAGTTTAAGATTAGATTGGGTTGTGATGGTTGGTGTATTTATTAAAACATCATTTCTTTCTGATAAAAAGTTGCTTTTCATAGGTAGCTTAATCATTAATGGTACATTTGAAAATTTCCTAAAAGTACAATGGTATTTCCCAGTGTTTCAAAAACCTGATCAGCAGGGCTAACCAGCCTTCCAGAAATCTGATATGGATCTATGAATTAGCAATTTAGATTGGTGAACTATGGTGAACTAGATCGATTCTCTGGTGTGAGAATCAGCCACCAGAGAATCAGTAAAAAAAAAAATGGTGAGAACAGGGCAAATTCTGGCGATTTGGATTGCCGGTGCCTTGACAGACTCGCCTGGTTATTTGACGGTATTGGGCGAGTCTATGTGAATTGGATTGACTGCGGGTACCGACTAGGGTCTAGGTTGGTGTCGGTGTCGCAATTGATTCTTGATCTGGATTTTTACGATTCATGATTCAAATCGACGGATTTTGAAATATTGTTACTTCCAAATTAAGTGCCTTGGAACATTATTAATATAAATATTATTGTTCTTTAGCTGGAATTTTAATTAAGTCCTATAAAAGGTACCTCATTGTTTTAGTAATAATTTCAGATATGCCTTTACTTAATGGCGAAACTACTAATAAAAAGCAACTTTTAGAGAAATATTGAGTATTTGGTAATCTCACCCTTTTCAACCCATTCTAGGCCCAACCTTTGTATTTTGAAGGATTGTTAATGGGTCCCATGTGTGTTTGTGTGTGTGCGAGTGCAATGTATGTGTATGTGTATGTGCATGTGCACGTGCTCTTGCATGTGTATCAGAAAATGATTTTGTAAGCCTATGAGCCTATCAAATAGTATAAGCCCAATAACCTAGATTGAAGGATCTAGAAAAGAATGGCCAACATTGTGTGTCCAAAATTTTTTGAAAATTGTAGTTGTCCTATTGCCAAATTTTGTTCACTTGTGCACACCTCATCTAGGCAGTTCAATTAAAAATATAAGAATGGTTATGTTCGAAAAATGTTTGGCAAAATGTTTTCGTCATTCTGGGCCAGCCAAATTGCCTCTTCTCTTTCAAATTGGGTTGTTGGGCTTATGCTAACTCTTTGGCTAACAAAATCTAAGCCCTGTAGCATGCACCTGCAGGAGCATACCGTACTACAACTCCCTTAGGCAAAATAGATACCTTGGAGGATTTTTTTTATCCAAATTTTTGGGATCTAAGTATCACTAGATTATTACTGTAAAGAGAAAAAAATGGATTTTACGTCATTGAACTACTTCTTTCCCTCCAAAAATGGATGGTTCTTCTTGTGCTGGTTATGGCGGACACATAAGCAGTTCTTTGTTCGGATTCTTCTGGATGTAAACTGGCAGGAAGGTTTGTGTCTGCTGTTAACTAGCTTTTTCCTTTCAGTTTGTTCAGGATGTAGGTTGGGTTTTTCTGCTCTTGTTTGTCCTCAAGCTTACATTTGACTGGACCACAAATGAGATTTTGAATCTGGAGGCTTTACTTTTTCTTCATGCAGCCAACAGCAGGATACGTCTTGTCACATGTGTTTCTTGTAGGCAGAAGCTAGATTTTCCTTGACATTATCCATGCACCACTTGTCTTCTCATAGCCAAATAATTGTTACACCCAAAAGTTGAGCAACAGATTATGCTTTCTGCAATGGGTTGTGTTAAGAGTGTCTCTTGCTTGATTTGGTGCTTGTATGCAAAGTTTGTTGGATGGAGTGTAACAGGTTGTACGATATTTGGACCCTGGGTCTGTTTTTAGAGATCAGCATCAGGCAAGATAGAGGCTTGTTATTTCTATGTGACTTGGAAAAGCTCTTTTGTCCTATTGATAGTCTATTATGAAGTATGAACTAAAAGGAATACCTTGTTTAAACATATTTCCAGTTTACAGGTTTGCATTGACAAGATTTCTCCTGCATAGTTAAAGTATCTAATAGGAATTTTGCTCTTGTTCTCTTGCATTTTCATGGTATATGTTTCTTTTTCCCTTTCCAACTAACAATATCTTTATGTAATGAAATGATGTTGTTCATTGGTAGATTAGTTTCCATTTTAATTGCCCTTGATTTTGTGTATGATACATGCGGGATTAGATTTTGGAAAGGTTGGTGAGTTAATTTGCCAATTGTAGTTTGTTATGGTGTTTTACGCAATGTGAACAAGAGATCTTTGCATAATGCGTTATTTTGGTTTTGACTTTTTTATTGCTTCCATTTTAAGGATCTCTATCTGGTGGATCCTAAAACATTTCATTCGCAGTTGACATTGATTTTGCCCACCACTGATGTCCTTCAACCTCGGTATACCAGCAGTTTTTTATTTTTTACTTTTTATTTTGTTTTGGATAGATTTGTAGAAACTTTTTTTATTAGCTGTTCCATCATCCCTTTGTATTGTCCACTTTTACAGGAATTATCAGGGAAATTTAATGACTTGCTTGCTATATGATCCTGTGTTGAAGGTATGATGTCCTTTTGTTCAATTGAAATTGACTTCTCTCGCATGGCTCTAGATACCTTATTGGTTTCAGTTTGTTTTTTGTTTGTCTCCTTCAGAATCTTACCTTTTCTGTCTATGACAATGGGATCCTTTTTTTGTGCCCCTCACCATCTTTTTCGTTTTTCTGTTTGTTTGTTATATCGCGAGCACTAGAAATTGAATCATTAATATAGCCATAACATAGACAATGATTCATTTGAGTGGTCACTCCTAAAGCATGTCCACTGATGGAGGGCCCTGCAGGTTCCAGGTAATTCTGGCATGCCTGCACTAGCAATTGGCCTGGGTGCTTTTGAGATCTCCCACTACCCTACAAACTAGGTATAACACTGGATTGAGTTTGTCATATCCATCTGTGATTCATTCCCAGTAGCGACTTCCAAACCGCTCTGGCTGCCTTTTCATAGGTATGATTTTGCATGAGAACCTCTGGGATCCCCAGTAGAGACACCCATACTGCTCTGGCAGCCTTTTTGTGGATGAGATCTTGCATGAGCACCTCTTGTTTAAGAGAGATTCAAAAAAAGCCTACGGAAAGGATCTTAAAAAAAGCCTACAGAAAGGATCTTACTACCCTCTGATCGCTGCATTATACCAGCCACAATTTGCTGAGTCACTCATTGTCCATGCCACACACTGTTGTTGTATACCTGAATAGAATATTCTCTCCATGCTTCCTCCTGTTCTTCTGCCCTCCGTAACCATAAGTTTGTAGGTAGAATGGGGTTACTAATTTGGGAATGCCTCTAAGGATCACAAGGTGGACTTTGCAGCTGTGCATGCATCGGACTTGAGCGATGCATTCGCCTGCATGCATACACAGTGACACATGTATCTTGGTTAATAAACAATCCCATTGTGCTCTTTTTTACTCCAAAAAATGTTGTTACGAACCACGGAATTAAAAATTTTTCCTTTTTTTGCTTCCTGCTTTTACTTGTTAAAAAACAGTATTTTCATGGGTATGTTTAATAGCATTAATTCGAAGCATCAAAATTTTGGTATGATTCATTTAGTCAAAAAAAAAAATATATTTTGATATAATTGACTCTAGCATACGCTGTTTACAGACAAGGTTGGCAGCAGCTGCCACATTGGCTGCAATATTGGGTGGGCCTTCTCCTGTCTACCTGCAAGTAGCTGAATACAAGGAGTCCACTAAATGTGGTTCATTTACCTCACTTTCCAGCGCTCTTGGTCAAACACTGATGCAACTTCATTCAGGTATTTAGTGGAGTTGATGGGGGATATTGTCTTTTCTCTAAAACCGAAGGCATCAAATATTGTCAGTGCTAAATATATGAGGACTTCCATCCCTTCTATTAATTCATGCTTGCCTTCATTGGTTTTGTATTATATGATTGTGTATGTTATTCTTCGTGTGTCTCAATTTCTTTACCTGACTGATGCAGGTCTTCTATACTTAATTCAACGTGAAAGTCATAGCGGGTTGCTGACATCCTTGTTTAAAGCTCTCACTCTTTTGATTTCTGCTACTCCGTATGTAAATTTTATCTTGCAAGATATTCTTCTGTATTTTCTCTATCTACCACTGTAGACAATCTCGTACATGTTGTGCTTTGCCCTGCTTTTTCTGTGACTGGAAAGTATCTATTTTCCTGAAGTCTTATGCACGAATTTGAGTAACATATTCTATATTCTTCATTTTCTGTATACTGCCATCAGATATTCTCGCATGCCTGAAAAGCTACTTCCTGCTGTTATTTTGTCCTTGCAAACAAGATCAACGGAGTTCTTTGATGCTGTAACTGATCAGAGTTGTTTGGCGGTTAGTTCTGTTCAACTTTGATGATAGAAAAATATTTTCAGGCGGTTATAAAGCCTAAAAATTATTGGCAGGCCTCCGCTGTCAGTTGCTTGGGGGCAGCTCTTTCTAGCTCTCCTCCATCCTCACAAGTTGCAGAAATGCTCAAAGAAGAGATATCAACAGGTCTTCATTTCTTTCTAGTCATATACACTATTCTTTTACAATAATTTCTTATTGCCAGTTTTGCTGAGGCATTTATTGTTATCGTAATTATCGTAATTTGTTAGCTATTTTAGCATTTTCTAATTTCATATTCTTTCGTTTTATTTATTGATAAGAACATACCCTGTTATGTCTTTAGACTTTAGTTCAAAGCCTGTTAGAAAAATACAAATATTCTTGGACTTGTCTGGTGCATTAGATGTGCTGCCTCGTCCGTAGATTTAATGATGTCCAGAGAAATATTATTTCCCTTCTTTTTCCTTCTGCAACTGTGTAGCTAATGTGAGTCATTTTAAAGTTGAATTTGCAAATTATTTTTGTGGAAAACGATTCTTGAATCAGTAGTCGCATTTGAATTGGGTTCTCATATCTATAGTTCATTTTTATATATTTGTATCTGTTTCTCAAACCAGAAAATTACAACATTATCTAGAGTTCATTTTTATAAATGTGTATCTGTTTCTCAAACCAGAAAATTACAACCAGCAAATTTATCGAAAAAATTTACAACAACAATCCTGTAAAAATAGTCTATATGTTTTTGAGAAGAAAAAAATAGTCTATATGTTAAACCCTACATTGTGCTTCAGGGTAAAGGTTTTGTGCAAAGTAGCAGAAAGTTGCTAGCTTTTATTACGTTCCTTTAGATGTTGTAACATCTAGAAAGTTATTGATGAAAAGCAGCCATTTGCTTTGGACCCCTTCTGCTGTTCAGTGCTGTAGGTGTTGGGCTTTGTGGCCTTTAAAGCTTGTGAGAGAATGTAAATAAGAATTATAGTTGACTATGCATTCTAGTGGGAGAGTGTGTCTTGGTTGACTAACCTAATGTTAGGTGGTCTATGGTCCTGGTTATGTACAAAACCCTTTCTCCCGAGCATATGACACTATCCTAGAGGGTTTTCAAATGATCATCCCTTGTTGAAGTCAGAGAGACGTCCAAGATGATTTGTAGGTTAGGATAGCTTCATGGTCTCCTTTGTGTGTGTAGGCCTGTGAGAGCAAGGACTAAATCCTTAACAAATTTCTGTGTGGCTGGTTCACATGACAAGCCCATTACCGGGAAGCAATGTTCAAAAAGTTGGCTGCCCGACTGCCTAGGCTTTGTAGAAAAAACGCCTAGGCATTCTTAAGGCGATTACTGTAAGGTGCCAGAACAGGGCGCTCGCCTAAGCGGCCTGCAGGGGTTTGGCGGAAAAAAATTACGGGTGGGGGCAAAAAAAGTCATTTCACCCTCTCAAAAAATAATATTAATTTGTATTTACTAATTTCTCGAATTGCCTTTTGCATGTGATTGTAATTAATTTTTTGGGAACACAAAAATAATAATTACGAATATGCTTTTTGCATGTAACATTAAGTATTAATTTATAGGAAACAAAAAAATTGTATTAGTTTCTAATTTATCGAAAATTCCTTTTGTATGTGATAGTAATTAATTTATTGTGAATCCAAAAATTATAGCTACGAAATGCTTTTTGAATGTAATATTAATTATTAATTTATTGAGAAATAAAAAAAATACTATTAATTCGTAATTTCTTGAAAATGCCTTTTGCATGTGATAGTAGTTAATTTATTGGGAACCCAAAAATAATAATTACGAATATGCTTTTTGCATGTATCATTAATTATTAATTTATTGAAAAACTAAAAAAATAGTATTAATTTCTAATTACTAATTTCTTGAAAATTCCTTTTGCATGTGATAGTAAGTAATTTATTGGGAACCCAAATATAATAACTACGAAAATACTTTTTGCATGTAACATTAACTATTAAGTTATAGGAAGCAAAATTTTTTTTATTAGTTTTGAATTACTAATTTATCGAAAATTCTTTTGCATGCGATAATAATTAATTTATTGTGAACTAAAAAAGAATAGCTATGAAAATGTTTTTTGTATGTAATATTAATTATTAATTTATTGGGAAATCAAAAAAATAGTATTAATTCGTAATTTTTGGAAACTGCCTTTTGCATGGGATAGTAATTAGTTTATTGGGAACCCAAACTTAATAATTACGAATATGCTTTTTGCCTGTATTATTAATTATTAATTTATTGAAAAACCAAAAAAATAATATTAATTTATAATTACTAATTTATCGAAAACTCCTTTTGCATCTGATATTAATTAATTTATTGGGAACCCAAAAATAATAACTACAAAAATGCTTTTTGCATGTAATATTAATCATTAATGTATTGGGAAATAAAAAAATTGTTTTAATTCGTAATTACTAATTTATGGAAAATACCTTTTTCATATGATTGTAATTAATTTATTGGGAACCTAAAAATAATAACTACCAAAATGCTTTTGCATGTAATATTAATTATTAATTTATTGAAAAATCCAAAAAATAGTTTTAATACGTAATTACTAATTTATCCAAAATGCCTTTTGCATGTGATAGTAATTAATTTATTGGGAAAAAATGCTTTTTACATGTAACATTAATTATTAATTTATTAGGAAACCAAAAGAATAGTAATAAGTTGTAATTACTATGTTATCGAAAATGCCTTTTGCATGTAATAGTCATTAATTTATTGGGAAAACAAAAATAATTATTGCAAAAATGCTTTTTGTATGCAGCATTAATTATTAATTTATTGTGAAACCAAAAAAACAATATTAATTCGTAATTTCTAATTTTTCAAAAATGCCTTTGGCATGTGATAGTAATTTATTTTTTGGGAACTCTAAAATAATAACCACGAAAATGCTTTTTACATGTAAGATTAATTATTAATTTATTGAGAAACCAAAAAAATAACATTAATTCGTAATTACTAATTTATTGAAAATGCCTTTCATATGATAGTAATTTATTTTTTGGGAACTGAAAAATAATAACTATGAAAATGCTTTTTGCATGTAACATTAATTATTAATTTATTGGTAAACCAAATAAATAATATTAATACGTAATTGTTATTATATAGCATATACAATAAATGGAGGGAGGTGTTGGGGATCCAACTATAAGAAGAAAACATCACTGGTTGTTTTTTGCATATGGGCGCCCGCCTCGGCGGCTGCCTCCGACTTATTGAATATTGCCGGGAAGCAACTTTGAAAAGAGGTATGTGTACATGTGCATATAGAGAGCCCCCTTGCACTCTAGATATGTACGTGTGACTTGCTCTTGGGGGGCAGGGGTATGTAATTTACATTGCAGGACCTTGGTTTCGCTATTTATTGGCTAATTGACTAGCCTCATGAGCCTGTGCATGAGAGTATAGGTCATGGATCTCGTTGGGTCGGTTTGACAAGATAGATGATAATCAGGGTTACTGGGTCGAGTGGAGTGCCCTGACAGTCACTTTTCTTGACCCATTGATACCAAAGTTTTTGTAGTTTTTTTTTAAATTATTTTCAACAGTAAACCCTCTTGAAGGGAATTTTAGATAATTCCTTGGATTGTGGAAGGTTGGTAGGACCACATGTGGGGCACTTGGATCCATCTCCACATGTGCACCACACCCACATGTGTGGCACGTGGAGGCTAAAGGGGGACATGCCCCTCCTCCCTCTCCTTGAAATTATTTTAAAATAAAAACCGAAAGAGTTTGGTTTTAGTTGGAAAGCTTAAGGAAATATTTGAAAAATATTGTGATTGTGTTGTTATATTGTGCAAGCAAAAAAATATTTTGTTTTTTTTAAATATTCTCGAAATCTTTGACCAGCTTCTAACTTTGAATTACTATAATCTTGTGAGAGATAAGGGTGTTCTAGAAGATTTGATTTTGATTGGCCTTATCCTAGGTTGAATCATCATCATCGAAGCCCTTTCCCAACTAATTGGAGTCGGCTACACTAATCATGGTCTGCCATTCTGCTCTATCAAGGGCCGTGCGTTCAGTGAGGCCATAAGTCCCCATATTTTTTGTCACTACTCCCAACCGTGCCCTTTTGGGCCTACCCCTTACCCTTTGTGAGCCTTCCACTTGAACCAATTCGTACTTCCTAACAGGTGCTGTATTGGGCCTACGCAACACTTAGCCTACCTAAGTCTGCTTTATCTCATCTTATTTTCAATTAGTGCCACACCTAAATTTTCCTGAATGTTTTCATTTCGAATTCTATCCCTTCTTGTCTTGCCACTCATCCATCTCAATTTCTTCATCTCAGCTACACTCATTGTATGGGTACGTTGTTTCTTGCAAGCCCAACATTCTGCCATATAAGGCAAAGCTAGCCTCACAGCTGTCCAATTGAACTTGCCTTATGCTTCATTAGTATGCGGCGATCACATAAACCTCTGGTTACAGATCTCCACTTCGGCTACTCAACTCTATTTTTATGTGCGATATTTTACTCAATCTCTCCTTTTTTTTGGATTATCGACCCAAGATATTGAAAGTGCGCTCTTTTTTGTACTTTTTGGCCGTCAATCTTAACTACTTCCTTGTCTCTACTCCTTTTATTAATAAACTTAAATTCTATAAACTTTGTCTTAGTCCAGCTAATTTTAAAACTTTTAGATCTAGAGCATCCCTCTAAAGTTTTAATTTTATGTTGATGTCATTTTGTGTCTCATCGATCAAAACTGTCATCCGCTTAAAATATGCACCACGGTACCTCATCTTGTAAGTGCTTAGTTATATTGTCCATAACTAAGATACAGAGGTATGGGCATAATGTTGACCCTGATGTAGACCTCTTGTCACTAAAAACTCAATCGTCTCTTCACTAGTTGTTCGCAGTTTGTGCTCCCTTGTACATATCTCTCACCAAGTCGATGTAGTGTCTAGAGATTCCTTTATTTTCCAGCACACAACAAATCAAATATCTAGGTACTCTATCATAAGATTTTTTTAGATTAATAAAGACCATGTAGAGGCCTTTTCCCTTCACCCTAAATTTGTCAATCAATTGCTTAAGTAGGAAAATAGCATCGGTTGTTGACCTCTTTGGCATAAAATTGAATTGGTTTTCTAATACACTCGTTTC